TTCCTCGGGGGATAACTGTTGCATGAACTTCCACGAACCTGACTTGATCCTCTTGGAGAGATCTCCAAGCATCTTCGCTATGGCGGGGTCTATTACCGATCCGTTGTTGCTTGACCTCTCAGGTACTCGTTGGGGGGGAGCTGTCTCTGGTACTGCTGTGCTGGGAGTCTTCGGATGGCTTCGTAACTGGGCAATGGGCAATTGTTGTGCCCACAACATTTCAAAAATAACATGAAGACTAATTTCCTGTTCTTCCCAGGCCGGGGTGAGCTTCCTGTCGGTTGCTGTGCCGTATGCTCCTGTCGGTGTGAGAAGTTTTGTCGACTTGTTGTACGTCCTGCGAATCCGCATCCGCTAGAATCGGTTCGAGCGCGTTATCGGGATTCTGTGGTGGTGCTCCAGCGGCCGGGACAACCACGCCGTTTTCCCCATGGTTTTAGAGGTTGTCATTCTCGACTCTGTTTACCGAGCCAGATATTTTGACTTGAAATCAAGAGATCTTTGGACAAGAAAAAGTGTGAAAGATAACGCGTGTTGGTGCAATGGAACCAGCAAGAAAATAATAATAATTATTTTTAGACCCACAGTGGGCGCCAAACTGTTTACCGTAAAAATGGTAACAACAATTAAATTTGTAAATGTGATTCTAAAAATACGTGATCTATTTTTATGCTAGTTGTTAGAGCAGATAATGCTAGGAGTATGAAGTTTAATGATGAAATGCAAGCTAAAACGAGGCAGTAATCAAACCGAGGGGCCTGCTGCCCGGATATAGGGCTGGTCGATGGAGGACCTCGGGGTCGATGTCCGAGTCGAGCTCGAGCTATCGGGAATAGTCGGAAATGGGATAACAATTAGATTATGATCAAGCAAAGCTTTATATGGCCAATACCAAGCGATAAAATGAAGAACAAGTAAGAAAGCGATAAATATTAAAGTGGCCTCGGGCCAGCGAGAACGAGCAAGTTAGAAAGAAAAGAGAGAGAGATATTATTGCACTTGTGGAGAAATGGAGCAACATCAGCCCTTTACAAGGTAGTGCGAGTTCCCTTTTATATCGGAGGGGAACTCGGCTATAGTACAACATACATTAATTGTTAAGTATGGAGATGGGACGGCTAGATGCGACGCCTCGGCGTAGGCCCTGGATAGGCCGACTTTGTCAGACTTAGCCGCGTGCCTTGGGAGCTTCCCCTTCTGTTCTGGCTTCGATTTCCATCTTCTCTGAGTCGGGCNGCCCCGAGGGAGGGGATTCGTTCGTGGCTTCCCATCCTCGGGGTCTCGAGGCATTCTTCCGAAATGACTTAATAGCGAGAAATCAAGTCCTCTGATTTCGCCGCGTACACTATGAGTTCCAAGCTCGATATTTGAGGCCCACTAGCAACAAGTTATCCTGAATTTTTATGTGTGTCAATTTTAATATTTTTATAATTTTGTTTGTGTCATAACAATTAATATTTAATTATTTAACTGGATACAGTATATATCTATGGGTTCCAGGCTTTATATTTGAGGCCCAGTAGCACCAAGGTATCCTGAATTCTTATGTGTGTCAATTTCAATATTTTTACAATTTTATTTGTGTTATAATAATTAATATTTAATTATTTAACTGGACGCAGTATATATCTATGGGTTCCAGACTCGATATTTGAGACCCAGTAGCACCAAGCTATCCTGAATTCTTATGTGTGTCAAATTGAATATTTTTATAATTTTGTTAGTTTTATAAATTAAATAATTAGTTTTTAATTGGACAGAGTATATATATCTATGAGTTCCACGCTGAATATTTAATTTGATAGCATACATTAATTTGTTAGTTCTGTGTGTTTGTTTTATAAATTAAATAATTAATTTTTGTAAATGTAATTAGACAGAGTTTGTAGTTAGTAGATACTTACACTACAGAGATTCTACTATAAAATGCTCTTTATTTTATTACGCTAAAAGGTTCTATATTTTACTACACTAAAAGGCTCTATATTTTACTATGCTATAAGGCTCTACATTTTACTACGCTAAAAGAGCACTATTCTTTAAGCAAATAAATAATCTAAGCTAAATAAAAACAACAAACAAATTTATGAACATTTTTATTAACAATAAAAATTATTTCTCAACTTTTAACTATTTTTTAAACACTAATAATTTAATCCGGATAAAAATAACATGCAAATTTAATCGCAAACAAAACACAAAACAACGTGGAAACACATTCAAGAAAACAAATATGCATTATTATACGAGTTTCGACATAAACTAAATCGGAATACCTCGATTTATGTTTTTAGAAATGTCGGAAATTTAAAATTTTGAGCCCAAAATAGGGAAACCACAACAATCGAAGGCTTGGGTTGTATGCGGGACCTACAATCTTCACTTTTTGTGTGACGGGTGGGGTCCACTCGAATTTTTTTTAAATCGAGGGGGG